GTCTTACTAAGTTTCTGAAAGTCTCACTAAATTCCTGAGGCTGCCCTGAAACTTGCAATCCTCCTGCCTCAGCCTCCCAATTTGCCAGGATTATGTGTATGCACCATGGTACCTGGCAAAAAAACATAATTTCCTGTTCACTAAATGTTAAACTACAAGATGAATAAATTCAAACATGAAGTATATTTCATTGCTCACGAATTTTATGACACATTTCACCAGTACAAACATCAATATACTACATGAAAGATCACAACTAATTCCTTAATCTACTCATGAATCTGTACATGAGCATTAGAAACTAAAACCTTTTTTTAAAATGCTTCAAATTAGGATAAAAACAAACAAACCAAAATAATCTGAAATAAAGCAGCTTCACACAGTAGATAAGCAGCTGGCCTACTAAATGAGAAACAGCCCAGAGAGTCCTAAAGGACCACACTTTTTCTAATCTCTTGGGGCATCAAGAGCTATAAAAGAAGGGGAGAAACCTGACCATTTTATTTTAAAGATTCCTTTAAATTCTAATCACTCTAATAATATTCACTTTAAAGACAAATACTTTAGAAATACCATACTCAAAATTCATTATATTCTGGCACCTCCCCCTAATGTTCCATTCGAGCATGATTTTGAACAAAGTAAATACAAAACCATTATTTTATTCCTCAAATAAGCAGCTATCAGTCAATATATGGACTTACAGTAGTCCTCAGCAGCACCACTTCACAGTCTTTAACTGCAGCTCTGATACAAGTTGCTTTCACCCGCCACTCAGGCATCCAGTACAGGAGGAGGAGAAGAAACCCACCAGTACAAATCACTCCTAAAGAAACTATGGCAAGCTTCCAGCGACACAAATTATAACCATAAATCTCCTGTATGGACACAATGATCAGATGACTAAGTATCAAATTATACAGCAGATAAATGAATTAAAAAATGCTTTTTCACCCCAAGCACACACTTTGTCACACAAATAGTAAGTATTTTCTCAATCAATAATCTATATTTTGTTCCTGACAAGTTTATGAATAAAATTAACTAATTTTAAAGTTAAATTGGCTATTTATAATTTATGGCATGGTATTTGATGTTTAATAAGTTCTTTTCCACTGACACAGTATATTCATAATAAGTATATTTTATTATAATTTTTATAAGTCTTAATAATTCTTCAAGTATTCACATTGTTATGAGGTAGTTTATTTACAGAAAAGTTAGAAAAATGAGAGTTCCTGTGTCAACTTCACCCTAATGTTAACATCTTGATACATTTGTCAAAACCAAAAGATTAACACTGCTATATTACTATTAACTAAATTCAATATTAGAATTTCAAGTTTTTCCACTAACATCTTATTCCTATTCCAGGACATAATCCAGAATATCACACTGCATCTAGATAAGGTAGGTTTTAATTTTTTCCCAAGTAATTTGATGTCTCAGTAACACTATAATTGGATAAACTAGACCCCTGACTAAAATTATTTTAAATATTACCATTAAAACAGAAACACAAATGCACACATACACAGAGGTTGCCAGGCATAAGTGTATGCCTGGTCCTCACCTATTTACACTTAAAATTTCAAATAAGCAACAAATAACTGCTGGTCCCATGCAACATTCTGGGTATATGTAATACTAAAGGTTTATTTCTTGATTATCTGAAATTTACATATAATAGAAAAATTTATATCTTATCTGGCACATTTCCACTTGAACTTCACCAGAGTTGAGAAGTT